ACTTATTGTGTCAATGGAATCTTAGTCTCAAAATAAAGTTTTATTATCGTGGCAATGAGCACTGGGGAATTGCGTAATATTTTCCAATTGTGCGTAAACTAATTAGCTCACTTCTAACGATGAGTGGATAAAAAAATCGGAATTATCATAATCGAATCAGAATCGATCAGCTCAATTAGATTTTGAGTATATTTTTAAATTGTTCTATGTCTTAGAACCTAGAAGCGATGGATCCTGATTTTGGTCTAGACCCAGAACCAAGAATCGAACATTGATTTAAACCTTCTTCTTTTTAAGGGTTTTTATTTTTTAAAAATATTTTCTTCTTACTCAAGTAATTTTCATTTTCTTCTTCTCTAAACTAAACTCATTTTGATTCTCAGATTTTATTATGGTAATAAAAACAAATTTCTTGGTTCTCACTTTGCATTATTTATTTGAAAATTTTGGTTCTTCTCTGTTCCAACTATTAAAAAATAAAATAAATAAATAAAAAATAATTGATTTTGGTTCAGTATGGTTAGTTCTTTGAAATTGAGTTTATCCTTTATTTTTTAAGGCATTAATCACAAAGGGGGGAATATTTTCGTTTGGAATCAATGTTTGAAATTCGTATCTATATCAAATAAAGCATATTGAACCATACACCTCTCAGATTCCAAATCTCATTTGCAAGTCCGCAATTGCTTAAATGAGTCAGACTATTGGAAAACTTGATAGAAAATGAGTACTCAAACAAACGGTCAAATCGATATCAAATAAGGCTGTCCTAGAAAATTTAGAGGTCTTAGGCGACTAATTATTATGAAGCCCTCCCTCCAACATTACTTTTTTTTACAAATGTAACAACATTTAAATATTTAAATAAGTGTCACTTTTACATTAAAAAGAAGACTAAGTCCTCGTTTGACCCCCATTTTCATTCTCATTCTCTCTATCTTATTTTCAACCACACAGTCTTCTATAAAATAATATGCAAATCAAAAAAATTTCATTCTTTTTCAATTACACATTTTTTTTAAAATACACTATTCTAACCATTAAAATTTGAAAAGATTGAAGGCCAAACAGGAGCTAAAACTGTTAGGCTAGGCAATTGATCAACATTGCTATGGCAGTTTCACTCCCAGACCATACCCTTAAACTCAATGCAAACATAATGTTTATTAGCTATAATTTATAAGCATAACCTTAAAACCGTTTTGGAGGGCCAAATATATTTTTAGGGATGTCAATGGGGGCGGCCCGCCCCACCTCACCCAAACCTCACACCACACCCCATCTTAGAGGGGACGGGATGGGAATGGGGCAACTTTTTGCCCCGTTTATTTTTTTTTTTTCAACATTTTCAAAGTTTCGAGTTATATTATTATTAGAAAATAAAATACAAATTCAAAATGAGTTTTTAACAAGTGAACTGTCTAAAATTAAAATTATTTTTAATCTTATTTTATTTTTTTCCCTTTACGGGGCGGGGCGAGGATGCCCCGTCAATCCATTTGGGGCGGGTTTTTTTTTGCCCTAGTCGAGGCGGGGCAGGGCGAATTTTTTTGCCATCACTATATATTTTCAATTATTGAAGGCTATTGTCATCTGATGATAGAGAGGGCCAACCTCATAGAACAAAAAAAGTTGGTTTCGATTCGATTATGAGTTTTTCAAAGATTTTTTAAGGATTATTGAAATGTTTTCACATATTAAAGGGGGTTATCATTCTTTCTGGTAGAGTATATCCTAATGAGTTGAAGGAAGCTATATCAATATCAAGCTTCGTTTATGTAGCCACAAGGTGAGGGGAACTCCCAGAACTTCAAGAGATACGAGCAATTTTCACAACACAATTCGGGAAAGAATTTGCAGCTAATGATGCTGAATTACGTGATGGATGCATAGGCAGGCAATCATATATCATTTCGATGCTAATACAGTTACAGACTAAGATGAATTATGCATAAAGCTAATGGTACATAAGTTGGTGTACAAAAGGGTGTACACCCTTTCACATGAGGGTGATACCTACGTGAATAAAATATTCAAGTGGACCCCACCATGTGAGAGGTTGTACACCATTCGATACATCAAATTATATACCCCTAGCAAAACTCATGAATTATATGCTAATTTCTTTTATTTATAGATGGTACAGAAGTTGTCAACTAGTGTGTCAACCTTAGAGGAAAAAATGAAGGTGCTTAAGGAGATTGATTCAGAGTACAACATTGATATGTTAATTAGAATGATATTGTGATTCAACTTCATTGTGAGGGAGTCTCTTCATTTAAATAGATGCCATCCAACCAATTACAAGGCTGAAAATCGGGCATTATTTGTAGTATCAATACATGTTCCGAAGCAATTAAAACCTACCAAAACTACAGCTAATTTACAATATTTTTCCCAAGTAATATTGCAAATCAGTTACCTAAATAGGCTCGTACAATTGACATGATATACAAATTGGATAGCTTGCTTCAGTCCTTCCAGTGGTATGGATATTATTTTGACAACATTTGTGTTTGCTGGACAACCTAATACAAATTTGGAATGATCAACGTACTCTGAAACAAATAATTCGACATGGCTGATAGTGCTTATTAGGTCAATTCAGTTTTCGAAAGCACAAGTGTAGAATATGATTAGGTGCCACAAAATTCAACATTGTAAACATTTATTGATGGCTTGGTTATGCTATTTTAGGTAAATGTAGAATCAGGTACAGAAAATCAGCGAAAGCCATCAGCAATATCCATATCAGGAGTCTCTAGTCAAGAAGAAAACAAGCTAACGCAGCCAGAAGATATAGAAGCGGTTGAAATTGGGCCTCTTTATTTATTTATTTTTTTTTTTGTGAGGCCCCTTGAAATGTAAGACCCAAGGCAGTGGCCTAGTCTGCCTTGGGACAGGGCCGACCTTGAACAAGAAATAGAAACAATAAATATAAATAGTAATGCGACTTGATACTCCTAATACGAATAAACACAAGGGTAATTTACATTATAGGGGAAAAAAATAAGGGGTGTACTAAAATATTTATTATTGTTAAATATTGCAAACTTCAAATATAAATTTGACGTTTAGGTAAAAATAAGGTTAAATTACACGTCTTTATCAAAGTACCTTGTCAAAATCACACATGCAAGTTTCCATGCATACAACTCGTCCGTGATTTTTGTGGCGTTGCCTATATTCAACATGGGATAAGAGGAACAAACTGTACATTTTCAAGTTCCGAGTATTGCCCGAGTGTAGTAGACATCGCTCACCCAAGAAAGCTCTTGTCGGGAGGCCGCCAGGCCTTTCTTTCCATCTTGTCAAGCTGAAGTTGCCTTTAGACAGTTTCTAATAGAAGATATGAAAATGTAACAAAAGACGGCTCTATGTCCGCTTGATTATAAAGATGAAATTTGGGTGGAAAGAAAAAGAATTCTAGAGAGTTGAATTGCCTAGAAATTATTTTTCTAATAATTGTAAATTATTGTGTTTGATTGATATAATTTTCCAAATGGAAAATGTTAAAATAAAAGTATTTTTTGGTGTTCGTTTAACTTTGTTATGTATAAAAATTGTCAATTAAAGGGATATAATTTACTGGTATTGGGGATGAAATTTTTTTCATTGCCAACAAAAAAAATAAAGAAAATCATCTATTTTTTTGTGTTCGTTTGACTTTAATTTATATGGAAATTGTCAGTTAAAGGGAAATATTTTTTTACAATAATTCTTAGAATTTGTTTCCATTGACACCAAAATTTTAAAAAAAAATCGAAAAAAAATGCTACAATAATCGAGAATTTTAATTTTGGTGAGAATTAGAATTCTTGGAAATCCAAGAAAATAACAAACTTCAAGAAAATGGGGAACTTCAATTCCATAGAAAAAATAACCCCATCAAACAAGCAAAAGTTGGAAAATGAATTCCATTTCCCATGAAAAAATGCAACAATCAAACACTGCCTTAGTGAATTTAAGTGGGAGTTGACGAATTCCTTCAAGGGTTAATAGTTTTGAATGGAGGAGAAGGATATATATATATATGAAAACACCATTTAAAGCACTTATCTTCGATCACTTAACGAAGGTTGAATGATTTCACTCGACTGCCATGGAGATGGTGCCTATAGATGTATAGATCTAAAGTTTGGAACTTGTTAATTGTATCACATGAGATAAACAGATAGCCAAATAAAAATAAAAAGGTCTGTAATCCCAATCCCAATCGAGAAAGATTTATCTCTATATTATAATTATAACATCATTATAAATTTTTTTTACATGTACATATTTTTTACAATAATTATAACCGACACTGTATTTAATCATGTTGAAATGATTATAATTTTTTGAAATTCTAAATTTTTTGCATGTATATTATTTTTTGTACTGTACATGTAATCTTTTCAAAATTTATTTATTTATTTATTTATTTGGGGTCACCCTAAAATTTTTCTCTATTTTAATTTTGTATCAAAAAATATATATCTTATTTATTCCTTAAAAGGTTTAACTATTTTAGCCCCTGTTTGATCCCCATTACATAGAAAAATTAATGGGGGGAATAGTATTTTTTTGAAAAATGAGTGGTTGAAAAAGAATGAAAAATTTTCGATTTACGTGTATATTATTTTATGAAAGATTGTGTGGTTGAAAATAGGAGAAAGAAAAATAAAATGTAATAGAATTTAATGTAATGGGGCTCAAACAGTAGCTTAATTTAGCCTCTGATTGGCCTCCATTTTCAAAAGTAATTTTTTTTTTTAATCACACATTCTTTCGATGTTATAATTTTATACATAAACTATTAATTTTGCACATTTTTTTTATCCAAATACTTTCTAAAAAATAAAAAAATGTTTTTCATAAATTAAAAAAATAATAATAAACTCAGACCAAAAAAGGGCTTAAATGTAAAAATGTTGAAAATTTTGCTGTATTTGTTTGAACCACTCATTTCTCAGTACATAAAACGCCAAACCCAGAATCCGTGGTCACGAATCGAACTTCCACACGCCTTACACCATACTATCATCTGCACCACAGACGACACACACTATCTCTCCCTCCATGATCAGCAGCAGCTCTTCAAAATACTGTGTATCGCAGAGTCTCAATTCCACTTTGAAAACCGCCCATAACCAGTATCTAAGTTTTCGCCAATGCAAGTCTTTTCTACGCCACACATGCATTGCCTTTACTTCTTCTTCTTCTAGTACAGAAAGGCCGAAATGGGACTCCAAGATTCGGTTTTGTAATAAAAATCACTGTAAAAACGGAGCCCAGAACAATAATGATGAAGAAGAAACAGAAGAAAAAGTGGCAGAAGAAGTGGTGATTTTAGGAGACAGAAAGGTTCACTGTGCAGTGGAAGTGGTTTCATGGAGAGAACGCAGAATAAAGGGTGAAATATCAGTTAATGCCGATGTTGAATCCGTTTGGAATGCTCTTACTGACTATGAAAGGCTTGCTGATTTCATTCCTAATCTTGTTAGCAGGTAATTTCTCTATATTTGTAACACTTTATGTGGAAAATTTACTTATTAGATTCAGGAGAAATATTACATTTATTTGGCTAAATTTTGGTATCAATACGCCCTGGTAGAGAGGAGGTTATCATAATTTGGATAAATAGATGACCATGAGACTTGATCATAGCATGCCGTACCTTATTGAATCAGATGAGGCAGCTCAACATGTCATTATTCAGAATTTCGTGACATTGTTAGGAGAATGCTGGTTTGAATCTTAATGGGCTCTCATACCATGTCAAGACTTGGGTTCAATCTCAGAATGTCAACTTCTTAAGTAGCCCAGACCTTTATATGTAGGGCACTATTTTATACTTAAACTGATGTGAGATTTTAACCTTAACAATCTGAACTTCAATGTAAGGCGGACTGGTACCTCGTGAATTAATTCAAGAACATTGTATGGAACCTTAGTATATTTTGTTTAAGAGATAGGGGCATTTTAATTGTGAATGGAATGGTGCTAGGATCAAATTCTATATGAGGTGGAGAATTGGCAAAAAAGTAGTAACTTTGGAACAACAGTGAAGTCATTATGCGAGTATGAACATAGCTGTATCAATTTTTTGATGGTAATGGGAAAGAATTTGTACTGCTAGTATTGTTATTACTGGCATTTGAGTGCATTCTGGTTTTTGTATGCCAGTGGAAGAATTCCTTGCCCGCATCCTGGCCGTATATGGTTGGAGCAGAGAGGCTTGCAAAGGGCACTGTACTGGCATATAGAAGCTCGTGTTGTGTTGGATCTTCAAGAATTTGCTGACTCTGTAAGGATCTTAAGGATTTTTAATTCAACTATTAAGTCATTTGAATTTTAGCCTGTGGCTATTGTACATGTACTTGGTGGTTGGAATCTAAAATTTTCGAGAATAAACTCGGCTTTGGTATCCATTATCTTTATCTCCAGCGTTTGTTTTCTATTCAGGAAAATGATCGGGAACTTCGCTTTTCTATGGTTGATGGAGATTTCAAGAAGTTTGAGGGCAAATGGTCTGTTAAATCTGGCAAAGGGTAATGTACTTCCTTTTTTCTCTCAATTTTTTTTGTTTCAATTATTTTATATACGAACTTTCTAGTTGAATATACGATTTCATTTGATACTTCTATTGAACCCTTGTCAATGGTCCATTTTTCTATCTAGTTTTCTGGTGTCAATGTGCTAAAACCAAGGGTCTGACAGAGAGTAACTTGTGTGCTGCATGAAAGACAAGGCTTTATATTTGTACTGCAGTCGTTGATTATTAGATTGAGTTCCTCGTGTTACCAAAATGTCTACTGTGAAAAATGAATTTAGATGTCGATATAGCTTCTAAGCCAAATTTTTTGGTGTGTGATGAAAATTTTCAAGTCGAGATTTTAAAACATGGCACCAAATCCAGTTGATTGAAATAATACGTTATTTTATGGAAAATTACTCTTTGCACTTTATGCTGGATTGCCCATATCTTCTACAGGTCATAAATTCTCTGCATTTTTACTTCATTAAGGAGATACACATTGCATGCAAAAATTCATATCTAGTTGAACAGGGAACTGATTTTCAACTGCCAATTTTGCTAAATGATTTTCACGTATGTATTACATCCTTTTATAGTATTACAGAGATCCAAAGAAAGGAAAGAAAATATGCACAATTGGAATGAAAATCCCCTAAAATCATTATGTGATTTGTCAAGATTCTATTTTGAAAACTAAATAAACTCAATTATCTTTAATACCGTCCCTCAAATTGATGTTGGGGAGTCCACAAGCATCAATTTTCTGAGAGAAAATTATGACGGAGGTGAATCAAGGACTTGGTGAAAATATCTGCTACTTGTTGAGTAGTGGAGACACGAGGAAGAGTAATGATCATGGAATCATAAGTATCCCGAATATAATGACAATCCACTTCAATATGTTTGATACGTTCATGATACACATGATTAGCAACAATCTGTATAGCACTGGTGTTGTCACCATGGAGAGGTGTAGGCTGTGACTGGGAAAAACCAAGCTCAGCTAAGAGACCACGCAGCCACACAAACTCAAAACATACAGCTGACATAGCGCGGTATTCAGCTTCAGTGGAGGACTTAGAAATACAATCCTGTTTCTTGCATTTCCAAGAGATGAGAGCATCTCCCAAAAAAATACACCATCCAGTAGTAGAAGGACAAGAATCAGGGCAACCAGCCCAGTCAGCATCACTATAAGCGGTAAGCACAAGAGGCGTCCCCCTAGGAAAAAATAAACCACGAAGAGGAGTCCCAATAAGGTAGCGAATAATTCGGCAAACAGCTTCCAAATGGAGATGTCGAGGGGCATCCATAAATTTGCTCACAGTATGGACTGCGAAGGAAATATCCGGACGTGTAATAGTAAGATATATGAGACTGCCCACCAACTTCCAATAAAGAGTAGGATCTGGAATAATATCACCTTCATCTTTTTGATACTTGACATTAAGCTCCAATGGAGTGTCAACAGAAGAGGCGTAAGATAAATTACCCAACCAAATCAAGTCATGAATATATTTATGTTGATTCAAGAAAATACCATGTGGTGTAGTATAAACCTCTAAACCAAGAAAGTAAGTCAAATGGCCAAGGTCTTTTATATAAAAAACCGAGTGTAGATGCTCCTGAAGCTTCTGAATTAGTACATGATCAGATCCAGAAATAGGAGCAAATGTCTCATCATAATCGATGTCATACTCTTGACGGTTACCTAGGACAACCAGTTGAGCCTCATAGCGCTCAAGAGAGCCATTAGAACGAAGCTTGACTGAATATACCCATTTGCTTTCAATAGGTTTCACACCCTTTGGACAAGGTACAACATCCCAAGTTTGGTTGGCCTCAAGAGCCTCATGTTCTGCATTCATTGCCTATTGCTAACACTCTTGTTCCATAGCCTATCTATAGGAGGAAGGAATGGAAATTGAGTTAAGAGTAGCAATCATAGAGCTATGGGAGGAAAATTCATACCTATCTGGTGGTCAAGAAGTAAGAGAAGTGCGGCGAAGAGGGACTGGTGGTGGAAGATCATCCGATGTAGGATCTGATGTCGAAGATGGAGGATCATGGAGGTTCAAGAAGGCAGTCGTCTCAATAGAAGGACCAGTGTTTGGTGCAGCATGTCTTCGAGTGTAAACAAGACCTGGCTTGTACCGAGAGGATTCTATAGAGAAATCAAGCAAGATAGAGAGTTCGGGGGAAGAAACACTAAGTGCTGAAGAGAAGAAAGATTGCTTTTCAAAGAAAACAACATTACGAGAGATCCTAATGCGGCGTGTCGTAGGATCATAGCAAACATACCCTTTTTGAGTCCCACCATATCCCAGAAATGCACATTTGATATATTGAGGCGTGAGTTTTGTCCTTTCATGTTGTGGCAAGCGAACAAAACAAACACAACCAAAGGGACGAAGATGGGAATAAGTAGGGTGACGACCGAAGAGTTTATAAAGTGGTGAAACGTTATTAAGAGTAGGAGAAGGTAATCGATTTATGAAATGAACAGCTGTGGACAAAGCTTCACACCAAAATTGAGAGAGGACAAAAGACTCAATCAGGAGAGCGCTAACCATATCAAGAAGGTGACGATTCTTGCATTCTGCAACTCCATTTTGTTGAGGAGTAGAAGGACAAGATCGCTGAGAAATAATACCTTTGGTTTGTAAGAAGGATTGGAACGCATTAGACATGTACTCGCCTTCGGAATTGGATCGTAAGATCTTAATTGAGGATGAAAATTGGTTGTTAACGAGAGCAAGGAAAGAATGAAAGGTAGAGAAAACTTCATTTTTTGCACGAAGAAAATAAATCTACGTAAAGCAACTATAGTCATCAATAAAGGTAACAAAATATTTATATTGAGCAAGAGAAACCACATGTATAATACCTCATACATCACTATGAACAATATCGAAAATATGTGAAGCATGAGAACGAAACGGAAAAATTTTACTTTTAGCAAGTTTACATGAAGCACAATCAAGAGAAATAGATGAAATCCAAGCAGAATTCTTACTACCAAGTAAACTAGAGTTTAACAACTGTCGTAACACATTAGAATTGGGATGTCCCAATTTTTTATGCCAATCATAAATATCAAAAGTAGCAGAATTACAAACAATAGGAAAAAATGAAACAGGCTTTGATGAAATAGAAAAGAGACATCCCTCCTTAGACCCCCTCATGATCATCTTCATGGACACTTGATCCTGCACATGACAACCAAAAGAAGAAAAAGAGACAGTGTAATTGTTATCAACAAGTCGACTAATGGATATGAGATTAGTGGATAAACAAGGAGAAACTAACACATTACTAAGTAATAAAGGATTATGAGTCATATGATTAGAAGCACCGGAGTCTAATAACCAAGAAGAAGTATCAATTGATGGATTACCTAAGACTCCTAATGCAGATAAAGCAGATATAACCATTTGTTAGATCATTCCGGAGTGATGGAATTTTGGGTAGGACTAGGAGAGGCTGGAACTTAAGTAGTAGCAACTGGCGTAGCAGAACTAGCGGCTAACATGGCAATATAACCTAATTCAGTCTTGCGTGGAGGGCGAATAGGACATTCTTTAATTACATGACCAGTCTTTTTGCAATAATTGCATACCTTTTTAGGACACTGAAGAGCCATGTGACCAAACCCTTTACAGCTGCCATGTGACCAAACCCTTTACAGCTGTAACATTGCACATTTGACGTATCCCGAGATCTGAATTTTTCGTTGAGCAGCATATGCAACAGGAATAGGTGCCACTTGATTCTGTTGTTGCTTCAAAGAGGCACGAGTTATAAGTTGTTGCTCTTCCCTTAATAACTCATCCAAACAGCCATCTAACATTGGACGAGATTCGTGATTCATAAGACTAGATCCAATAGATTCAAATTCAGATCGCAATTTCATGAGAAACTAATCTCACTTGGTGACTTTATGCACAGCTTGTACAGCTTCGAGATTGTCAGCAGGAATTGAAGCATAAACGATATCTGTGTATTGAGCCTAAAGATTAGAGAATCCAGAATAAAACTCTTCAATGGAGCGAGAGTCCTGAGAAAAATTTGTCAATTCAAATTCCAACTGAAGTCGTCGAGCATTGTTGCTTTGAGTATAGATTTTCTTTAAAAATTCCCACATAGCACAAGCAGAGTTGTAAGGCCTGAGGTTAGGAACAAACTGAACATCGACAGATCCAATTATCCAAGCCATAATCCGAGAGTACTTGGTTTTCCAAGCGAGGTACTTCTCTTTATCTTTCTCTTGATCAGGAGGTGGGAGATTTTCATCAATATGTCCCCATAGATCCCCTTTCCCTTCAACCAACAATTGAAAGTGAAATGCCCATGAAGTGTAGTTCTTGCCGTTAAAGCGAATGCACATGGAATCAATTTTCTCAGTTGACATGACGAATAATTTTTTAACTCTGTCAAATAAATTAATCACGACTTAACAAAATCAATTGCTGAATGATTTTCACATAAGTATTACATCCTTTTATAGTATTACTGAGGTCCAAAGAAAGGAAAGAAAATATGTACAATTGGAACGAAAATCCACTAAAATCATTATGTGATTTGTCAAGATTCTATTTTGGAAACTAAATAAACTCAATAATCTCTAATATCAACTATATCAATGGTGACTCATTTATTTCTAGTTATCTTTTTTCAAACATATTACATATTATCAGAGTTCCAAATAACTTGTCGATACGCTGATTTTTCTGAGGCGGGATTTAACATCAGTACGAAGCTTCGCTCACTAAATGACATTTTTAGTTCCATTTTTACTGCCTAGAGAAGAAAATGTCAAAATTTTCCTCACGTAGAGATCTTGAAGTGTAGGAGTTATCCTCTTGTGCTAGCGACCGCATGTTTCAGTTGGCATATTTCATGTGCATATTACCATTAATTCTGAAACAAAAAGTTGTAAGCTAAAACAATCATCTCTCTGTATGTCTAGATACTTTTGAAGGGAACTATATTTCTACAATTCTATCAAATTTATTGAATACCTTAACAATGGTACTTTTTGGGATTTATTTATTTACATACACTTTTCTTATTGCAGGTTTTCAACTACTACTTTGAGCTATGAAGTTAACGTCATCCCGAGGTTCAACTTCCCTGCTATATTTCTTGAAAGGATTATCAGATCAGATCTTCCTGTTAATCTTCAAGCATTGGCTTGCAGATCTGAAAGCGATTTTGAGGGGAACCAGAATATATTAATATCTCAAGGGTCCTTAAGTACATCATCTCTAGATTCTCTTCCTCTTCAAAGTGTAAAAATTAATGGAACCACTCCACTGAATAAACATTCTGCTGGAGAGATTGAGGAAAAAATCGTCAAAGCTACTTTTGGTCCATTGTCCCCTCCTACGAGAGAGTTGAATAATAACTGGGGAATCTTTGGGAAATCTTGTCAACTCGACAGACCATGCCTGGTAGATGAAGTTCATCTCCGTAGATTTGATGGCTTATTGGTAACTGATTGACTCTACACTATACATTGCCTTTCTCTAAGAAAACCATTTATTTTTAAGCAGTTTTCTGATGAATTCATTTTGGGCTGAAGGAAGATGGAGGTGTTCATCGGTGTGTTGTTGCCAGTATAACAGTAAAAGCTCCTGTTCGTGAAGTATGGAATACTTTGACTGCTTACGAGGGTCTTCCCGAGTAAATAATTTAGGCTTTTGTTTTTTTAACTTGACTGAAACTCTACTTAATTGCTCTCTATATGCTTATTCTTTTTTCCTGTTGAAATTAACTTTTTGTTTATTTCTATCTTAAGTAATCATAGAATCTTTTGAATTACAATAAACATAGTGCAATTGAGATGCACTTTTGATGAAGAATTTGAGGGGGCTTGTGAATAAGAGGAGTTATACATGTGCAATTGTTTTTGTATGGCTGTTTTAGTCTGTAAATAAATGCGAGATTCTTAATTATGCAATATTTTCTAAAAACTCTGCAGGATAGTTCCAAATTTGGCTATCAGCAAGGTTTTATCTCGAGAAAACAACAAAGTTCGCATTCTTCAGGTACATAGGTGATTTTGACATTTTTTGGTAGCTATATTTTAGTAAATGTTTGCTGCAGATCTTTGGTGCTTTCCAGCAAGGTTTTATCTATATAGAATATACTCCTCCATGATGGATACCACTGGTTTCTTTTCCATAATGAAAATTAAATAGGAAAGGAAGTTTTCTGTTCATTGGAAATCGGCATTGGGGAACTCTAGAATCTACACAAAACATGAAAAAATAGTGACGCCTCAAATCAATTTCTCCTGTCATCTTTTTTGATATTTACGAAATTTTGATCTTAAGAAATGAGATCTGTTCCATGTGGGGGAAAGTTTATTACTTTTCTAGAGAAATCTACCCTTTGTAAACTCGGTTTACTCATTTTTTTCCTATCATTTCTTATTTATGTGTAACATTGCTTGAAAGAAGCCTAATCATTATATTGTTGGTGTATTAAACTGTATGTTGAAATGTTATATCAATTTAAGAAACTTATGTTTTGATTGTTCAGGAAGGATGCAAGGGCCTACTGTATATGGTTCTCCATGCACGTGTTGTCCTAGATTTGTGTGAATGTCTTGAACAAGAGATTAGCTTTGAGCAGGCTGAGGGAGATTTCGATTCGTTTCGAGGGAAATGGATCCTGGAGAAATTAGGGAGTCACCATACACTTTTAAAGTACTCAGTGGAGTCAAAAATGTGCAAGAACTCATTTCTTTCTGAAGCTATTATGGAAGAGGTTTGTTCCTATCTCTATTCATTTCATTCAGGAATGCAAAAGTTCCATATTAACCCTATTTTCAATTGAAAATCATTCTCTATATGATACATTATATTAGCATTCTGCTTAGAGCTTTTGTAGCTTCTGTTGAAAACTGGGTATATTTTTTTGTTCATGATAATTGATTGTCTGTCTGCTTAATACTCACATATGAATCCGTGTTCTCTGTTTAATTTGCCTTTTGATCCACATATGAGTAAAACAAATACTATATTTTATCCATAGCTTTTGTCTAAGGTTACTTGTCAAATCTATCAGTTTATGCATAGTTCAGGTAAAGCATAGGGAAGTAAAATCTCGTGGATCTAAATTCCTCCTAAGCTATGCAAAGTAAATTTTAATTGAATTCAAATTATATTTTAGTGTTTAAAGAATTCTTTTGGGATAAATACAATTGACATTGTAGGTCATATACGAAGATCTCCCTTCAAACTTATGTGCTATTCGAGATCATGTCGAGAAAAGGGAAATAAAAAATTCCAGGGGGACATTCGAACACGATACTAATGCAGAGAAACAAATAGCTTCATCAAGCAATGCCTGCTCCTATAATTTGAGTAAGCCAACCGATCACATTGATAGCAGCAGTTCAAATTCATCTAGCCAAAGACCCAAGGTTGCAGGTCTGCAGAGGGACATTGAAGTTCTTAAATCCGAACTTCTGAATTTCATTTCCGAACATGGCCAGGAAGGATTTATGCCAATGAGAAAGCAACTTCGTAAGCATGGGAGGATAGATATTGAGAAGGCAATCACACGCATGGGCGGATTTAGAAGAATTGCAACATTGATGAATCTTTCCCTGGCTTACAAACACCGCAAACCAAAAGGTTACTGGGACAACCTTGAAAATTTGCAAGAAGAGGTTAGTTGCCTAAATTGAAAGACTATGTAGAACAGAAACTCGTACTAGGGTGTTGTGTCACGTCCAACATGTATCATGTTATATCAGACATCGACATTCCTGGTCAGACAAGCCACATATTGTGTCCTATTTTTTCTATATTTTTAAATTTCAAATGCTAGATAGATAATTTAGATACGCTTCTTGAGCAAATGTTCGACATGGAATTAAAAAGTATTAAGAAAAGATAAAAATATGTAAGTTTAATATTTTAAAGAATTTATCTCAACGAGTCCTTGTCCAAGTCTTGGTCGTACTTTTACGAAATATCATGCATTGCCATGTCCTCTCTGTGTTGTGTCGTGTTGTGTGCATGTTTGCGTTCTTAGTTGAAAGCTAAATAGTGTACGAGATTTGCTTCAAACATCTCATAATGCAAACATGTATTGTGTGCTCTCTCTATGTTGTAGATAAGTCGGTTTCAGAGGAACTGGGGCATGGATCCATCATTCATGCCCAGCAGAAAATCTTTCGAACGTGCAGGTATGAAACTCCTATTAAGTCTTGACATTAGAAAACTTGGCTGGGAAATCATTTATATTTTTTCATTGAACATTGTGGAAGAGCACAGTAAATCGTTTTGAAATTGCAGAAGTTCAATGAATCTTAGCCCTTGCTGATATTCTTGTCTTGGCCAGACCATATACCTTATTTCAAGTTCTACAAATGTGATTGCTTATTTCATTTATTGAGTAAATGCTTTTAAACATTATTAGTGAAGGTTTTTTCCTTATAGGTCGTTACGACATTGCGCGTGCATTGGAGAAATGGGGAGGCCTCCATGAAGTATCTCGTCTTTTGTCGCTTAAGGTCAGGCACCCCAACAGACAAGCTGCACTTGCTAAAGAAAAGAAGATTGATTATTTGGAATCTAATGATGTAAATGGCCAGGAGAAGACACCATCTAAAACTTATGTTTCTCAAGATACACAAAAGTGGCTCATGAAACTGAAAGAATTCGACATAAATTGGATAGAGTAAAAAAAATCATATATATGATTTGCATAAACTGATGATTAAGTTCTATAATCCTGTAGATATATGATGTTTCTTGATGATTGAGATGACTTGCATTAAACTGTACCAGAAAGAATTGGAAATATATTTTAACTGTTATTTTGTGACCCAAATTTTATTGGATGTTCGTGGATTGGTTGAAAAAGTTGTTAAAGAGGTATGGAAAGTTTTGGGGCAGCATTTGGGTGCTAAAGCGCCATTTAAAAGTGGTTGGAATTGTTGGAAAAATTGACTTAGTGGGCTACTTTTGAAATAATTTTGAGTGGGATCCCGTTCTTCCATTTTGGAAGATTAAGTTGACTTGTGTTCTGCTTTGTGAGGACATCGAAATCATATATTTACTTGCCAAAAATGATAAGCGGGTGAATGAGAAATTGAAACTTGAAGTGATGAATTGGAAGATGTTAATGTGTTGGAGGGAAAATCTCACATGGAAAATGATACAAGCAACTATCACTTTATAATTACACTTTAGAAGGGTATAATTATGTATAGTATAGATACTCTCTTCATATGCGCACGTAGGGGATGCAAATCAAGAATCGAAATTGCACATCAAGCCTCGAACTTGTTTGCAGATGTGACTTGCGTACACAAATATTGGACCGAATGAAGCAAAAATTAGCCCTTTAAAAGCGTCCACGTTTTGCCTTTATTTAATGACAGTGTTAAAGCTTATGGCACTTATAACTCCCGGTCCATTTGAGCCTATTTAGATAGTTAGTTTCCCCTTCTTTCCACACACGAAATTACTCTCATTCTCTCCATACACTACTTTAAGTTTCTTTCTATCCAAATTCTTGATGATTCTGTTCAGACGGAAATTCAATTCGTTGGAGTAAGGACAAAGTGCTCGTTTTCACTAATTTTTCATTGTATCCTAGGAGACAGACACTCTGACTAAACCTTAAGCACCTAAGGTGAGGATACGAATCTGTTTTATTGTTATATATACCAATAAACATTAGCAAGAATCCATCGTCTATCATGGTTCTCGCTCAATCTTTGCTTTCTTTGGTGCTTTATTTCTGTAATATTTTGGCTTTCTTCAGTGGTATTGGCAATTTGGCATTATTGTGGTATTTCATATTGCATTTCATTGTAAATATAATTTTGTTTTTATTTTTGAAATTCTTTGTTATTTTTGTAAGTATTCAGGATCATTAGGAGTTCAACATAAGATAGAATTACCATTACTAAATAATTCAGCTACCAATTTATGATATTCAAAATTAATTAACTTCTCTATGTACTCGTGATTGAGTTCTCCCGTTGTTTTGAAATAACTCACAAGTCCTACTCCATATTAAATGGCTTGTTATGGTACGGTAACAAGTTTATTGTGGAGTCGTCATATTACACAGCAAATTAGACAAAGAAGTAATATCCACAAATAAACATGCTATGATCGTAAATAGAAAACTGAATCTGGAAGTCTCATTTTCTACTAGCATGTAAATGGACAAAATTAACAAATATTCCAAAAATCTTTCCCTAAAATCCTTAGGTTTTAGATAATGTTGGTAATTACTCACATTTTTGCTGCGACAGGAGAATAGCAGGAGGAAATACCTGAAAATAGCTTAAATATAAGGGTGAATCTTAAGATTAGACCTGAAAAAAATAATTATTTAAAGAATAGCCTTTGAATAATAATATTTTCAAAAATAGCCTCATAGAAAATTTGCAACCAAAGCCATTACAATGTATACAAACCTTCAATTAGATCCCCAAAGAAATATAGATCATGAATCTTTAATAAATTTAACTCCAAATATTATATAAAATTTTATTGATCTAAGAAATGCAACAAATGATGAATTAAATTATCTAAAAGAAGATATGAAGAGTTTCTTTACAGAATATTTAGATCCAAAATTAAAATATAAAAATGTTTATATAGATGATAGAGCAATTAAAATAGAAAATAATATCCATAAATAAATTTTTAAATTGGAAAGAAGAAATAACAAATTAAATATAATTATTAAAGAAAAGGTTTTGACAAAAGATAGTGAATTTTATAAATTCTATTGTAATATTTTAAATACTTATGAAGAATTTAATTGGATTCAAAATCTTAATCCCTCCGTTGTACGCTCCGATGAAATGGTATCAAAGTCAGATTACGAACCAAAAATAATGATGAACATAGTAGATGAAGAAAATATAATTGAAGAATTTTTGAAAAAAATTGAAAAAAATAAAAAACCAAGTTATCCCTACTTACCTAAAAACACCACAAATGAAAGTTTTGAAGATATACATAAAAGATTAGAAAATTTAGAACATAATCTACAAGTAAGAAATGCTCTTTTAGACAAAAACCTTAAAGGAAAATATAAGATTATAATTAATCAACCTCAAGATTTTAGGATAATACAAAAAGAAAATAATAAAGGGAAAAAAACATGAAGAAAATCAATATATGATTACAGATGTAGAAGAACTAGAACAAAAATTCTTAGAATCTACAGGCGAAGAGTATGATGAATATAAAAAACAGTTATAAGAATTAACTGAAAAAATGGAAAATACTAAAATGAATACTAATCCATCAACAAATTGAAATATAAAAATAGAATTCAGTAATGATGAAGAATACAATTATCCTTATTACACAACAATACTTCTTAAAGATGGTATTAATCAATATAGAAAAACACAGAAAAAGATACATTAAAAATATAAGAAAACAATCCATAAAAGAAACAAATCTAATGAAATCTTATAATGAACCATTCCACATAACAGGAATATGGTTAGATCTAGACTGTGTAGATAAAAATAAAGCTATTGAAACATGGATGAAAAGTACAGACTTAGCAATACAATTTAATAAATGGGAAATATATACAGTTTTTGGATTTATAGAACACACATTCAGAGGAATTGTTTCTGAATGGTAGAGAAAGTTACCAAAAATTATTAAAGGAAGAATAAAGTATGGAGAAAATAGAATTGAAGTATTAGACAATAGGAATACTTTAAATGATCAAAATATACAAGAAATATTAAAAAGGTTTGAAAGAGCCTTAAGAACAGAGTTCTTGGTAGACAGATATACTTCTAATGAAGAAAAAAGAAAACAAGATGAATATAATGAAGGAATGATAGCATTAGAAAATTTAAAAATATGTGACATGTGTGAATTAGAAAGATATACATATAAATTTGAAAAATTATACTATATATTAAACCAAGGAGATTATCAAGAAAATAAACTTATATTAAAGTCTTATTTTACAAAGTTACCATTCCCATGGGGAATTAAGTTATTAAAAGAATATGAGAAATTATTACCTCTAGGAGAAGAGAGAGGAGTAAAAATAGATAGTTTTAGAAGTAGGATTGAATTTACAAAAAGAATGATTGACATGTGGTGCAGAGAAACTTTAGAAAGTAGGAAAGCATATAAAATAAGAAAGAATTCCTTATGTTATTACAAAGATATAGGCCAAATTGAACAATTTGGATGCCATAAGCAAAAATATAAACCTTATAAGAAATATAAAAGAAAATTCAAAAACTATAAAAAATTTAAGAAAAGAAATTTTAAACCACACAAAAAATATTCCAAAAAAAAATTAGAATAAAAAAATTTAAGCCAAGAAATATTAAAAAATGTAGATGTTTCATTTGCAATGAAGAATGACACATTGCCCCTCAATGTCCTAAAAAGAAGGATAGACAGAATATAAAAACTCTTAGAATTTATAAAAAATTCTAAGAAGATAGTGATATAGAACCAATTGAGTATTATGAAGATTTAATTAGTGAATACAGTAGCATTTATGAATTAGATACATTCTCATCAGAAGAAGATTCTGAGGAGATAGTATATATGAATCAAAAGATACAACAAGCAGATCTAGAAATAGAGTAGAAACAACTGAAGAAGTTGAAAACTCGATAAAAGGTATAAATCAAGAAATTACCTTTGATATTAAAAAATACAAAGGAATAACCAAGAAAATATTAGACCTATAAAAAAAAGATGTATTCTATCAAGAATTCTTAGGAATACTAGCAAGAGTAAATAAAATAATTGTAAGTATGAATTATAAAGAAATGTCTATCAATATAGAAGATACTATAGGAAAAGTAAAAATTCCTATAATTACAAAAGAATGGGTAAAACAAAAGTTATCCAAAATTCCAGAAAACATAAGAAACAAATTGAAATGTATTGAAATAGGAGGAGTCCAAATAATGGTAAAAGGATTTTTTAGAGAAGGTATAAACATACCAATAAAAATATATTGTATGGATAACAGAATCTTACAAGATCCTATTGATGCTCTATTAGGAACAGTTGTAGGAAACTTAGTCTATCAAAAGATAATATTTACAGTAAAATCAAATTATACAATATCACTAATTGATGAAAATATTGACCAAAGTTTCAATCTATATTATAAAATTGGAAACTTGAAAATGTTACAAAAAAGTAAGGCTATTAGTATAAGCATAAAATCAATTTTTGCTTTTAGTACTAGGCATCACAACAATCTATGAAAAATAACTGATAATATTATCATACATAAAGATTTTGAGGAATTAGTACAATATATACCTCCTAGGAAATACCAAGAACATGAAGTCACTATACCAAAACAGATAATGCTTGATTTCCACAAACAAACTAGAGAAATTAATTTTGAAGGAAAACTGATTAAAAGAAATAGTGTCAGCTTAGAAGGAGATAATCTTATCGCAAGATTCCCCTCCAGACAAAACTCTAAGATAAGCAAACTCAAGAAATTAAGTATTGTTGAGCCATCAAGTTCGCAATATTATGTCAAAACAAGATATGTAAACCAAGAAGGGTATAAGAAGAATCTTCTTGTCCTCATAGACACTGGCAGTTTTCTTGCCCCGTTTAAATTTTTTTTATTTTATATATATTCTGAGTTCAATAAAATACGGATAACATTTAAGTTGAACTTTTAATAAAGAATACCCTTACTTTATGTAAATTTAAGTTTTTATTTTAGGATAAATTTATTTATAGTGTAAAATGATTTTTAGAGAATGTGTGGATAAAAAGTATGAAAAAATTATAGGTCTACATGTAAATTATGTTATTAAAAAATTTGTGATAGAA